CAGAAAAGAGAAATGGGCCTGGAGCTCTTAAATCCACACTATGTAAGCATTCACCTATTATGCCATTTTTAAGGATGTTCCTATCAATCTGCCAAAATACATGCTATGAAAGGCAACAATGAGATTAGAGATGGATTCATTTATGGACAGAGACAATAGAATAGTAAAGGCCTGGGAGGGGAGGGTATGGGTGGAGGGGATCAATGGGAAAGAACAAACAAACAAACAAATGATAAATCAGTAATACTTTCAACAATAAAGATAAATTTTAAAAAAGAAAAGATTGTCAATGTTTCATGTTGCTACTGTACTACAGGGTTTTAAAATCCTCAGATGAGTAATACCAGGACTATCTGATTAACACTGGTCAAGCCAAAGGTCTATGCAACAAAGTACATTCATTTCTTAAAGATTAATTTTAAAAAGACAACGAAGAATAAAACAATTTTATAATATTAGAGTTAAAAGAGACTTTTGGAAATTTAGTTACAAAGCCCTACTTGGGAGAAACCCAAGCCATAAAGAAGTTCATGGCTTATTCCAGGTAGAAGACAAAGACGACAATGAGAAAAATAACAATGACAAACAAAAATGTAATAGTCCTATTAGGAGAATCCAAGACTATCTCTGGAGCCAGGCTAGGGCTTCTTCTGCCACAATAAACTTCCTTTCCAGCCTTCTCCATTCATACCATAAAAAAAAAAAAAAAGAACCCCCAAATTTTATACAACCCCCGTGTTATATACCCTTGCAAGGCTTTACATTTATTTTCCTGAAGCAATCTGTGCTTTCATTTACCAACCCCACAATACTTTAAGATAACATGTAACCAAGTCACATTAGTGGTAATCCCTTATGTATACATTTTTTAGATGCCCAAAGATCATGAATAAAAAAAGACAAAGTGAACCAGAGCTCAGGATCAAGTTAAAAGGACAGAGGGCGGTGGTAACCATGGTTCTTTGAGATCATTGTGATCAAGACAAAGAGGTGTCTAGGGCAGGGTAGGAAAATGCTAAACATTTACAGATCAACTGAGTTTAAGCCCTCTACCAAGTAATGTAGTGATCACGGGAACAAACTGGGACCAACTCCATTCATCCCAGAAAGAGAGTCAAAGCTGCAGGCCAGGCATTATCCTAATGACCCCACCATTTTTATCATTGTGGCTCCAAAATCAGGCCTGCTTCTCTCTGCTTTGTCCTCTGTTAATAGAAGCTGGTTACCAGCAAAAGGCATGTCTCCCCCATGAGATCCCAATGTCACAGGGTAGAAAGACTAAATAAACTCCATACCATCAGATCTTGTAAAGAAAGACTCCTATCACTGATTATTTTCGGTGATGTCGTATTAACTCAGTATGCACCTCAGAGAGGCACAGTCTTGGAATACTAGCATAAAGAAGAAAAATCCACACTCATTTCAAAATTATCCTATTGTGTGTTTTTTTTAATTATCTTAAGTTTTACATATGTCTCCTTTTCCCCCAAATGACCCCCTCCCCCCCAACCATTCCCACCCTGGGCTAGCCTCTACTGCCCCAGTGTCTGTGTCCACTGGTTATGCTAATATGCATGCATACAAGTCCTTGGTTGTTTAATATTATTGTTCTTTAAAATTTAACAATTTTATAATGAACACAGTCCTTAACACTTAGGTCAAAGGCAAAGCTGGCAGAAACATAAAAATGATGGCTCAGAAGATTTTTGTGAGCATTAAGTGAGTAATGTGCTTAGAACCTCGTCTGAAACATTGGTGAGTGCTACATAAGCACTAATCATTACTGTCCCTATGAAATGATGAACCTTTGAAAATCTAGTGAAAACTACAATGACAAAGTTCATCTTCTCTCCTGGAAAGCCTTAAAAGAGGAAGCAGATTAGATACTATACAGTGTTGCTGCATTTCTCTACTGAATGAAACAAGTCATATTTTTGGAAGAACAGACAGCTGTATCCCACATATCAAACTGCAAATGCCATGGCAACTACTGTTTCTAGGCAATTGTGGAAGTATGTGTGTGGTCCACGTTCTATATAATAAATATAAGTGGAAAGTAGAGGGGAAAACCAAATGTTATGTGGAGGAGAAACTAAAAAGAGGAATACTTCTTAAAGATTACAAATACATGCTCCATTGCAACAGCCTTAATGACTCTGTGTAAAACTAGGATTTAAAACTCATTAAGTGAAACTAAGATAAAAAATCTACTAACACATTTCATAAACACATGACAATCTATCATCTGCTTGTAAACCACAGTAAGTGTTAAAAGATAAAATTAGGTAAAAGATGAATAATGTCAAACATTTTTTGAAAAACAATTAAATCAGCTGTCAAAAAAGTAACACTCTGAGTATTAAATTTCACTTGCATAATACTGGATGGCAAAGTATTTCAATTTCTCAATATTTGAGAGTTTGCCGTAGAATGCAAAATGAGACCAAAGGAAAAGCCCAATCAAGATAATTCCTGACTGTGTTTCTAGCCAAAAGCAAATATTCTAAAGAAAACAAGGTACCAGGCTAGTAACCTGGGGAAAGCTGCTCTCTGATATATACACATGACTCCTAGCCACAAAGTCATACAAAATGTGCAAAAAGGAAGAATTCACCCACAGGTTCTGTGAATTCTATGTGTGATGATTATGCACAACTTCTGTCCAATTTTTTCCTGGTCTTCAAATGTAAAATAGGGTTAAAATGCTAATTTATCATCCAGGACATTCTTTGAACACTAATTTTATTAAAAGTGCTTCTCACAGACACTTGGTTAGCAGATACAGGGCAGATACAGTTCTGGATTTCTGAACTCAGTTTCAATCCCAGAATGATTAAGTCATTTTCAATTCCAGTCAATGTCATATTGTGTCTGACTTCTGTCATGTGTGAAACAAATAGCAACCTTATGTAAATAACTTTATATATACAATCTTACTGTATATAACTATATGGATTTCATACAATAATGCATGTGATATGACTCATGTAAATAGCAGCAGGAGCCAAGTAGGACATATGCTGGGACACAAATGGCATTTCAAATCTTTAGGCAGAATTATATCCACATAATGCTCAAAAAGTACCAAGAAAAACTGCCAGAAGATTTCTAATTGGATAGTTCTTTCTCAGAGTGAACGTTTCTATAGAAGTATATTCACCCTTATAAGGAAAAAAACACAAGGCTTGAAATCATGTGAAAGAGAAGACGGAGAAATTTAGGGACATGAAAAAGGACACTGTAGCCACAACAACTGTCTTTGAAACATATTCTTTAGGTGGATAAAATAATTTTAGATGCAGTAATTTAAAAAAAAAAGGTTAGGATAAATTATTTTACTAACTTGGGTCTTTATTGAATCCTCTTTGGAAACTGCACAATTATTTGCAAATTTAGCTCAGAAAACCAACAGGCTTTCATGTTAATAGTTTCAGTTTAAATGACCAAATCACTATCCAAATACTTTAATTTGCCAGTATCGAGAAATGCCTTAGAAGACTGAGGCAAATTTTTAAAAACAGACATCCAAAAAGCATAAAATAGATGAAATTGGCAGGTTTTTTTCCAAGCTACAGATAAACTGCCTTATCCATAAGCCTATCTAAGGCCAACATAATACCAATGACTACTTAAAAGGACACTAAAATGAAATAAAAGCTCAAAATGAATAAAATTGATTCATTACTGTTATCTATCTCTCCAGCTCTATTATTTGGCACTTCACTCACAAGAGGTAAGCATTTTATATTTCTAATATAATGTAACTATTTCTAGTATTTCCTTTCTGCTTTATTAAAGGATGCTTTGGGGGAGAGGGAGTGGTGAGATTAGAAAAATCAGAATGCTGTAATTCTGTTTAACAGCGCACCCTTGTGGTTTACTTTTTAAACAATAAAAACTACAGGATATAAATATACCCAATATTCTCCACGGACTTGGAAATTATTTAATCATTTTTTTCTAGTTATTTTTTCCTAGCCTGCCATTATTTTCAATTATCAAATAGGTATAAAATGTCTATAATGATAATGACTATGTTTGATTGAAATGTAAAACAAGCAAGCAGTAAAATAAATAAAATTCACCCATAAATTTATAGTTCTGTTAAATTTCTTGAATATTTGCATCTGGCTACATAAAGAACTTCAATTCAGAGGGCAATTTAATTTATATGCATTATCTAATATATATCACATTTTTGTTATTGGTCTTTAATCATTCAATACAACCTTGCCAAAATTCTGGCTTTTATGTAAAATCTTAAGGAAAATATTGCCAAGAACTACCTGGGCCAAATTACTATAAAGAAAATATAAGCAATTTTTAAGTTATCCAAGTACTTCTGAAAATTTACCATACATACATATAAAATACTAAAATTTAGTGATATTATGTGTGACAGACATTCTCACTGTATATACTATACCCAGCTGCGTGGAAGCAATGCTAAAAGTTTACTTATCGATTTCCTTGAACACATACTATGTTACAGAATTTTGCTGGGGAACACAATTCCTGCCCTCTAGTTGGGAAAGAGGAAAGGAAGAAAATTAACAAAGTTAAAAATTGTAAACAATAACATAACCCTAATGTTTATGTTTAGAGGATGGGGTACTTACACCATCCCATATTATGTTACATACATCAATGAAATATTATGTAGCCTTTGAAATGAGGAAGCCCTTTATGTACTGATACATATCCAAAATACACCATTCAGTACCAAAAGGTGAATTATAACATAGTGCATAATATATGAATACATACACAAGGAAATGTTATTCACCCATGAGAAAGCAGGAAATCCTGCCATTGTGACAACATGGATGGAGCTTGAGGACAATATAAAATGAAATAAGCCAGACAATGAGAGGCAAATAATGCATGGTAACATTTATATGTAGAATCTAAAAAAGTCAAACTCAGAAACAGAGAGTGAAAAAGGTTGCCAGGAGGGTGGAGGATATAGGGAGAGGGTGGGGCAATGGGACAAACTTTCAGCTGTAAAATGAATAAGGTCTGAGGATCTAATGTAAAAATGATGACTATAGTTGATAACACTGTTAATAACTGAAATTTGCTAAAAGAGTAGAACTGAAGTACTCTTAGAGAGAGGTGGGGGCCAAAACCGGTTTGGCTCAGTGGATAGAGCGTCGCCTGCGGACTGAAAGGTCCCAGGTTGGATTCCGGTCAAGGGCATGTACCTGGGTTGCGGGCACATCCCCAGTAGGGGGCGTGCTGGAGGCAGCTGATCGATGTTTCTCTCTCATCGATGTTTCTAACTCTCTATCCCTCTCCCTTCCTCTCTGTAAAAAATCAATAAGTTAAAAAAAAAAAAAAGAGAGAGAGGTGGGGGAGAGAGAGATGTGAGGTGATGAATGTATAACTAGATGGTGGGAATTCTTTCACAATGTATACCTACTTCAAATCACCATGATGCATATTTTAAATATCTTACAATTTTATTTGTCAATTACGGCTCAATAAAGCTGAAAAGAAAGAAAAAAAAGAACAAAGAAGAAAGAAAAAAACAAAGAAACAAAGAAAGAATAGAACCCCCCCCTCAAATTGTGATCAGTTTGTAAAAAACCTTGAATGCCCAGAAAGTAACAGCCAGCTATCCAAAGTCTTGAACTGAGAAGTGCTAATTATAAAATATAAAAGTAGCAACTTGCCACATTCTTTTATTATGAAAACAAAATGTGAAAGACAAGTTAAGTACTGATCTTCTCCTTACCCTCTGCCTGGGTTTCTCTAGGATCAGACTTCAGGAGAGAGAATGAAAATGAGGGACAAGTAGACATGGTGAAGAGAGATGGAGTGAAGGATTGCTCACTAATTGGATATGAAAAGAAAAAAATAATAAACGTCAAAGATGATCTGGAGCTTTTCAATATGGGACAAAAAAGAGTGAGTTTGATTTCCAATATTCTGATTTCCAGGTAGTGATGAGTCAAGAAGCAACCATGAATTTAAACTGCAACAGGAAAAATGTTGGAATTGGAATTACAAAGTTGATGCATTAGTTTCTTAGGGCTGCCATAACACATTACCATGACTGGGTGGCTTAAAACAACAAAAATTATTCTTTCACAGCAGGGGTCCTCAAACTAAGGCCCGCAGGCCACATGCAAATACAAATATTGTATTTGTTCCCGTTTTGTGTTTTTTATTTCAAAATAAGATATGTGCAGTGTGCATAGGAATTTGTTCATAGTTTTTTAAAAAACTATAGTCCGGCCCTCCAACGGTCTGAGGGACAGTGAACTGGCCCCCTGTTTAAAAAGTTTGAGGACCCCTGCTATAGAGTATCTATGTACAGGCAGATGCCAGTATATCTCCCTGAGACTCTCTAAGTAAAACACATATATCCAGTTGGAAACTCGTGAAAGTGACACAAAGATTGTGTTGCTGTTAAAATAAAAATGTTTAAAAATGAATATTTCCATTCCTAATAGATACAAGCGAAAGCCTTCAGTTATTCCTTATAGACCAGCACTTTACGGTTTACAGATGACTTATTTTCTTGAATGTGAAAGCTACTTAAAATGGATATATTTACTCTTTGAAAAAATTTTTTTTATTGATTTCAGAGAGGAAAGGAGGAGAGATAGAAACATCAATGATGAGAGAGAATCATTGATCAGCTGCCTCCTGAACATCCCTTACTGAGGATTCAGCCTGGGCATCTGCCCTGATGGTGAATGAACCTTGACCTCCTGTTTCATAGGTCAACACTCAACCACTGAACCATGCCAGCAGGGCAATATATTTATTCTTTACTACATCATAAAACTGTACATATCTAGAGAGCCTCTTCCCAGCATTAATCTTACTAGTGACTACTTATTCACCTTATTGCATATTAGTAACTGTTACTAACCTTATTAGTAGCCTATGTGGAAAAAGGCAAGTAGGTAAGAGGAAAAATAGATGGTCCTGTGCCCAGCCTAAAACAAAACAAAACAAAACAAAATTCCGCACCTTATCTGTCTCATCCACACTCATGGATTTCATGACACCATAAGCTGGCCTCTCCTGGACGTGAGCGAGGTTCTGGGGGACGCTCTGAGAGGCTGACATCGGAGGCAACGGAGCCCGCCTCTTCTTGGGTGCGTCCGACGGCAGGGTGTTTGAAATGTATGTCTTGGAAATGGTATTGGACCTTGTAAAAGTTGGGCGATTATTACTCACTAGAGGGGTCGCTGGGGCACTTGCAGTCTAATAAAGAATGAAAAGGCAAAATCTCTATGTAAATTGAAGATAAAAAAGCACATGTAATTAAAAACAGATTCGAAGAATCTTATAAAATGATAAATAAGGAAATACTTACTTGATCCCGCTTTTTCTTACTGCGCTGAAAAAAGCTGAAAAACTTTTTATTTTCTTTCTCCTTCATAATGTCGAAGTTTTGTGATATTTGGCAGGACTCTAAAATAGAAAAAGAGGGCCTTTTTGTTCATCATATGTTCATTTCCAAGATTTCTCACAATTACTTGCCTTTGAAAATGTGTTTTGTTATAAAAGCTACTCTTTATGGTCCACTATGAACCATGTACTCTTCTAGACACCTTATATCTTATTCAATTCTCAAAGTAATGGGTAAATTTAGTATTATTGTTTCTATTTCACAGTGGAGGAAACTAAAGCTTAGAGAAATTAAAATACTTACTCACAGTGAATAATCAAAAAATTACAGAGCTATGACAAACTCAATTCTTTGTAACTTGAAAGTCTGTGTTCCATAAATAATTACCAACATTTCAAAGTACAAAGCTTCAAATTAAATGAGATATAAAATTGCTATATACAATTTGTCCCTTTGTTTATTTTGAACTATATTTTTGTGTCAGAGCTAAACTATAATAAAATGTTTTATTCTCTAAAACATGATTCATTATAGTTTCTTAGTACTTTATTATATGTTTCATAAATGATATTCCTTTAATCCAATAGTTCTAAACTAGGGGTGATTCTCCTGCACACCCAGAAGATATCTGAAAATGTTGGGGACAATTTTGGTTGTCACACTGGGGGGTTAGGGTGCGGAGAATGTGTTATTGGTATCTGCTGGGTAGAGACCAAGAGACCAATGATGCTGCTAAACATACTACAATGTCCAAGACAGCCCCTCAACAACATAGAATTACCTGATCCCAAATGTCAATTGTAGCAAGATTAAAAGAAATCACACTTTAATTAGAATGACAACTTTCAAGCCTCAAGGTAACATATGTAATACTTCACTCTCCAAAAGTCTTTCTGAATGTCAATGAAAGAGCCTACACCCAAAGACAAGTCCAAGAGTGCGAAGCCACCTGGCCCAGATTGTCCTTCTCCCATTTCCCACTAGTGGGAGCTATGATTGCTTAAGAATGATTGATTAAAAAAAAATAAATAAATAAAAAATAAATAAAAAAAAGAATGATTGATTATTTGTTGATATCAAAGATGAACCTGTAATATCTAGTCATACCAGAGAGAAAGCAATCAAAATCTACTGGGGTGGTTTTAAAATAACTCAAGGATAAATCTCATATGGTTTCTACTGGCAAAAGTCCAGACAATTTGGACTTAAGAATAACTCAACACCCTGGCCGGTGTGGTTAAGTTGCTTGAGTGTTGTCAAAAGGTTGCCAGTTCGATTCCTGGTCAGGGCACATGCCCAGGTTTTGGGTTTTGTCCATGGTCTGGGAACATATGTGAGGCAACCAACCAATTGATGTTTCTCTCTCTCCCTCTTGCTTCCTCTCTCTCTCTCAAATCAATAAAAACATATATTTTCTTAAAAAAATAACGCAACAAACTGAAACATAACACATATATTTAATTCCATGCATTCATAGTGATACAAAAAAAAGTAACTGGTCCTCATTGTTCATCTTTATAGGTAACCATTATTTTAAAAACTAATGAAGGGAAAGAATCACACTTTCCTGCCTTTTTTGAATGAATTCTACGTAGATAGACAAATAGCCGACATGGGGAAATTTGCCTTTTTAGAAATATCTCAACTAATAATTAAAGGAATGTTTGCAATAGAAAATGACCATTTTTCAAATCTTAATTAACTACAATATAGCAATAATTATATATGGCTAACATAAAAAAAAGATAACTTGTCATTATATGTCTGCAAATGGAACTACATAATACCACCCATGAAATATTCTTGCCAAAAAATATCTCAACAAGATTCTAGATTTAACTATCAACTTATAGGAAATAAGATAGGGAAATATGCGAAGTGGCATCGCAGGACACCATTAGCAACAGTCTGAATGTGGGGAATTCTGTAAGACAAATGACCTGGTTTACTCAATAAATAAATTGAAAAAATATTTTAATAGAGAGATAAGGAGTGGAGATCTGTAAATTTTTAAAAGCATCTCTACTAAGAAATATATGGGCTTTATGGTAAATCACAGTGTAATCCCAGTGACATAAGAAACAAAGTATTATATCTAGAAACTGGTGGGATATAGGTAAAGTAGCAGTTAGGAGCAAATGTATAGCCTTAATTAAAATCTTATATTTACCAATTATTTAGGGGTAAATGTATAGTATTTTTACTTAAAAAGGAATGTTTAAAAATTAAATTATGACAAAGTAGGGCTATCCCAGGAAAGCAATAACTACTAGTAAATTAACGCAATATGCCCTACTAACATAAGGAGAAATATATTTCACAAAATAAAACTTTATAAATCTGATCCTTCAAATCTTAAATAAGCAATATGCATTTGCTACCATGAGTTTATTGACGATGCTAACAACTAATAGTAATTGATATGTGGTAGCACACCATGGTTAAAGATTTTTTACATGCCTAATTTATTTCTTGGAAGAATTCTGTGAGGTAGATATTGTAAGTTATCATTGTGAGCCCCTTTTCTAAGCTGTGGGATGTAAAGAATGGAAGCAGGCAGTATCACCCCATTACATATCTGAGGACCTAGGTGACCGGAGAGTTTGAATAATGTCCAAAACACATGGACAGTAAATGGTATAACTGAAACTGATTTGCATTTAAAGAACATTTTTTAATGACTTTTTTTTTTTTAAAAAAGGAATGCTACTATTTCATTTTAAGATAGAATCTTCCACTAATTGAATGTATAAATACACAATGAAATTTAGTTGGAACAGTAGATGGAAAATTCACATACTGGTACAGTGCAATAAATATAACCACATTATTTCATATAGTTATTTTTTTAAGTAGTTTCCAGGTGCCCATTCATCTACTATACACACTGGTTACCCCCTAAATCTTCACTTAACGCTCTATGCCAGGGATCACTGTAAGTCACAGTTAAACACTAAGGCAAACAAGGGCTTGAGCTTACTTAGAAAGCAACTCAAATACTGTAGTTTCCTGTTTCCAGAAGAGAGGCTGTAAGTAATGGCAGGCAAAATTCTAAACTTCCCGATCATATCAGATA